CCTCTGGCACGCGTGCCATAGGTTCGCCACCACTGACCTACACCATCTCAGACAGGTGAATGTCCAGTCTCTTAATATGGTGAAGACAGTCATCAACAAGTGAAGAAAATATGGCACAACAGTTTTTGGAACTGCATATCCTTTCTTACTTAATGAAGAAACAAGAACACTGGTCCAAGAAACTGCCAAGAGGCCTATAGCAACATTAAAAGAGCTGCAAGAAGTTCTGGCAAGTACTGGTTGTGTACTACATACGACAACGATCTCCTGTATTCTTCATATGTCTGGGCTGTGGGGTAGGGTAGCAAGACAGAAGCCTTTTCTTATGAAGAAAAACATCCAAGCCCGCCTACGTTTTGCAAAAACCTATATCAGATCTGACAAAAGCATGTGGGAAAATGTGCTAGATGAGACCAAAGTTGAACTTTTTGGCCATAATTCAAAAAAGGACATTTGGTGCAAAAACAACACTGTGCATCACCAAACGTACACTATACCCACAGTGAAACGTGGTGTCAGCATTACGCTTTGGGGCTGCTTTTCAGCTGGAATCGGTATTTTAGTCAAGGTGGAGAGAATTATGAACCGTTCCAAATATCAGTCAATTTTGGCAAAAAACCTTCAGGCCTCTGCTAAAATGCTGCAGATGAAGAGGAATTTTACCTTTCAACATGACAGTGACCCAAAGCATACCTACAAAGCATCAAAAGAACGGCTTCACCAGAAGAAGATCAAAAGTTATGGAATGGCCCAGCCAGAGCCCAGACTTGAATCCAATTGGAAATTTGTGGGGTGACCTGAAGAGGGCTATGCACTGGAGATGCCCTTGCAATCTGACAGACTGGGAGCGCTTTTGCAAGGAAGAAGTGAACAAAGATTCCCACGGCAAGATGTGCATTGCTGATAGACTCCTATCCCAAAAGACTGTAGGCCAGGCATGTCAAATTCGCAACATCTCAGGACTTTTTCCCCAATGCTGGCAATGGGGTGGGCGCAGTTTCAGCGTGACGCATCCGGCCTACAGGCCGGCAGTTTGACATGCCTGCTGTAAGCTGTTATAAAATCAAAAGATGCTTCAACAAAGTATTAGTTTAAGGGTGTGTACACACAGAATCGTGTTATTGCATGTTTTTGTTACTTCCCCCCTAAAAGGGTTCAGGTTTTTGTTTCAACTGAATTGTTCAACTTATATTTTATATTAAAGGTGGAAATTCTGAAGTGATTTATCTTGGTCTGACTTTTTTGCATCTCAAAAAGCGGGCATTTTAACAGGGGTGTGTGGATTGCTTATATCCACATATATATTTTTTACTATTGTTTTGTAAACTCGGGATGTAATTTACCTCTTGTGAGTAATCTCCACCATGAGAATAGTGGATATGATTTTTGCTTAAAAGAAGTTATGGCACTGTACCTACGTCCTCCTCTTTATCATGAAAATAGTTTTTCTGAGATGGGTAAAGCTTAGTTTATATGCCTGGCACTAATAAAAAGTAATAGTTTTATGAGTTTGGTGGAGAAGTGCACCTATACACAAATGCTTCCCTAAGACTTCAATTTTAGGCCATAGCAATAAATGGGCCTTGCATCCAAGTAAACGTGCAAAATTGTACAGCAGCTGATTAAAAACACTTATTCCCTTTGTGGTGGATTATGCCTGCCTTCTGATGGACCAATGAGCGCTCTGCCTAAATCAAACATTTGCACACTCTTAATCTCTATTAACACGTTCCACCATGCATAGGGCAACGAGTGGCAGGCAAAGTTTGGCGGGTTCTCTCAGTTCTGTTCTTGACATTGGGCTCGGTGCCACACTCTATGCCAACACACTAAATACAGGTCTCCAGAGAAAGGCTTCATATGCACAACTCTAGGCTTAATTTCATTCCACATGATAAAGTCGGATTTTATCAGGTTACCAGCTGCCCCAAAAATATATGCATAATGGTACAGTATGGGTGTAAATAACCCAATTGTCACGATTTTGTTAAATATGATTTGAAGGTGTATTCTGCAGTAAAACATACAAAATCTAATATGACCTAATGAACTTTCCCAGAAGTCCAATTTTAATCCAGCAAGGCTCCCAGATAATGTAACCATGTAACTTACTCTACTCACAAATAAAATTCCTATTTAACTTTAGTGGGTTAGATCAGAGGTCTCTAAACATGGCTACTTTTAAGACTTGTGGACTTCAACTCCCAGAATTCCTCAGTCAGCCATACTAGCTAGGGAATTCTGGGAATTGAAGTCCAAAGTGTTAAAAGTCGCCAAGTTTGGAGATACACCTGGTTAGATTCCTAAGAAGGATATCATACTTTTACACTGTTTCAGTAGAAAGAGACAGGACTAAGAATCAAGCTATATACATCTATCAAATAATACACAATTTTATTAATTCTCGTATCAGCTTGAATCTGCTTCTCTGTAGTTTTGTTCTGTTAGTTTTGCCAAAATGGATACAAAGAACAAGTCCAGATCTTCCTTAACAAAAGTCTTTTAGATGTCTAAAAACTTAAGACCACTACATCTCTCTCTTCAGTTGTCTTCTGCAATTTTAAAAAAAACTATTTCTCATTTGACTTTCCCAGATAGCCCTCCTCCGAACTTTTTCCAGTTTATTGATGTCTGTTTTAAGCTGCAATGCCCCGAATTTGGCTCAGTATCCCAAAGTGGGTCCTGATCATGGCAGATTAGAATGAAATGTTTATTTCCCATGATCTGGATTCTGTGCTTTTTATTAATATATCTCAAAATCGCATTTGCCTTTTTAGCAGTTGCATCACACTTCAGTCTCCTTTTCACATGTCCAGGTGCCAAGCCAAATCTCTCCCATTCTGTATTTGTGCCTTTTGTTGTTTTTTGCCTTTCTCAGATGCAGGACTTTGAACCTTCTATCTTCCTATGCATTAGCCACTACTCCCACTTATGTCCTATCTGCCAATTTTGTGATATCACCTGTCCCCCTTTATCCAGATCAATGATAAAACTGCACCGGCCAAGAACAGTGCTCTGCACATAATAGAGCTCATTTTCATCCAGCAATGAATCTACTTAATAGCAGCTATGTCATCTATTCTAGCCAATATTCTATCACTTTATTAATGAGGGAGCCCTTAGGCTTTGCCAAATGCTTTGCTGAAGTTAAGATCTCCTGCATCTATAGAATTCCATTAATCTATTAAACTACAGGTAGTTCTCAAGGTATAAGAATTCATTTAGTGACTGTTTGAAATTGTAGTGGCTCTGAAAAAAGTGACTTGTGATTATTTTTCACACGTACAATTGCAGCGTGCCCATGGTCACATGATCAAAATTCAGATGCTTGGGAACTGGCTCGTATTTATGACGGTCGCAGTGTCCCGAAGACATGTGATCCCCTTTTGCGACCTTCTGATAACCAAAAGTCAATGGGGAAGTTCGATTCACTTAACAACTGTGTTACTAACTTAACAATTGCAGGGATTTGCTGAACCACTGTGGCAAGAAAGGTTGTAAAACGGGCAAAATTCACTTAGCAACTGCTTTGCTTAGCAATAGAAATTTGGGGCTCAATTGTGGTAATAAGTCGAGGACTATTTATATTAACTGTCAAAATAGTAAATGATTTGTTTGCAATAAGCCCATATTCTTAATAATTGTTGGAAGCCTAAGCCAGCGCTCACTAACATGTTTAATAATCAGGGAACCAGAATAGATACTAGAATAAATGTCTTTCCCTGTTCTCCTTTGCTTTTATGAAGGGACATTTCCATATCTTTCTATCTTTGCAATATGTCTAAACTTCATTTTGTTCAAACTTTCTCACCATTTTTCTTTTTAAAGACCTTATTGGCTCTATCCAACGATGACTTTGTTTTTTCTTTTCCTTCTAACGTCTTCCTTTATATAATTGTGTTGCAATTCAATCCTCAGCAAACCACTTCAATATATTTTTTATTATTAATCAGCCTCCATTCATCTGTGATCCCATCTCTTTTACACTTTTTACACACCTTTATATAGCCACTATATTTTGCATATGAGAAATTGAATTATTTTAAAAGATAGGCTGCTTTGCTATGATTTTTCTAGCAAATGAGTTAAAAAAGCATTTCTTTTTCTCATGTAGGAAAGGAAATAGCAAATTTACATAATTACAATTTAATATATAAATTTGTTTCGTTAATCATGGTAAGACCTTTTATACTGATTTAAATGTTTCGACTAACCATTTAATGCTCCAATTCTGTGCATCTACAGAAAGCAAACGTAGCAATTGGGCCGAGGAAGAAGTTTTATTAGCTTGGTTAATCCATATTAAACCATGAGTTGTTTATCCATGGCTTATGGAATAAATGACAATTAGCCGTGTTTGCACAAATGCGGAACTAAAATCACATTTTGGCTTAGTCAGTGCATCGCGTGAGATGAAATGTTATTGCATTCCTTCTCATCGTAGCAAAATATATCTCTAGTTTGTGCTTAATCTTATTTTACGACCCACTGTATCGGTCTCCGGGGGAGCAGTGGCATGTACAGAGTTATTATATGGGCGTATAATAAATAAAATAAATGCATGATTAGCATTACTAATAAAGACGCCATCCGCATTAGTACCCCGACCCGGTGTAAACCGATTCAGAAACCTTTCGGACGGCAGGAAGGGAGCCCGGCTTCTGCTTAGATCCACCAGGCAGTGTGGATCGCCCAGCCCAGCCTCTTTTTTCCACGCTTTGGCGGGGCCGGGCGGGGTTGCAGAACAGACGGGCGTCCCTTTCGGGTCTTTGTCCCGCTCAGCCCCCCTGTGGCGCGTTCCATTAGGAGCCACACGGGGGGGGGAGAGGCGCGCCTAAAGATCGCAAACAGCGAGGCTGGGCGGTACCACCTCGCGTAGTAGTGACGAGGAACGGGAGGGGAGGGGAGGAGGGAGGCGGTCATGGCGCCTTAAAAGTTGTAGCCGCGGGCGGTGTTTCGATTGGCTCTTTCGGCGGCGGGGGCGGGGACGAAGCGGTGACAGACAGGCGCCCGGCCGCGCCCCTTTCCTTTCCTCCTCTAGCTTCGGTTTGTCGGTGGGAGGCCTGGACTGGCCTGCTCGGATCTCGGCGCCCTCCGTCTTCCTTTCGGTGAGGTGGGCGAGGTAGGTCGGGGAGCAACTGCGGCCGTGCTCGGCCCTGGGAGTCGTGGATACGCTTCTTTGAGGGCAAGGGCCCCCTTCCCGCCCTTTTTTTCAGCCGTGGGGGGGGGGGCTTGGAAAAAAAGATGACCGGCGGCGCCCCTCTCTCTGAGGGCGGGGGCGGTGGGGAGGGGAAGAGGCACCCACGAACCTCTCGGCAACTCCCTTGGCTCTTGGGTTGGACTACAACTCCTATCCTTCCCGGCCAGCGCTCGCCCACCCCTTCCTTATGTTGGGTGGGGATAACGGGCGGTTTTAGTTCCTAAGAGGTCTAGTGGGTGGGGGGATTATAAGGGGACAAAACTCGCGTTTTACGGGTTCCGGGGGAGGAGAAGGGAGGGATGTGCACGTGAGAATGAGAAGCGACCTCCCCTCCCAAACGCGGGTCAACTCTGGTTCAAAGACCGAGTTATCCCCGGATGGAGAAAAGTTCAAGCCTTTCACCCCTCGAGCCTACCTCTCGGGGTTGTTGTGTGTCTGGGAAATGGCCGAGGGACATTTGACAAGACCTGTTGCTGTGGGAAGGGGTGGGGGGGGGTTAGTAATAAACGGCTGCCTCGCCTTTGCCGAGCACACAGTAGTCGACTGTCGGTCCCAAGAAGAGGCTGGCGCAGGGTTGTGGTGTGCGGGTTTGTGAAAAGCCTTAGTGGAGAGACAGTGTGAGCTGTGTATCTTTAGGTCTTGGGATACCCTCGTGGAGAGAAGGAGGGAATTGGGAATTAAACTATCATCAGGGCAACACTGGTTCCCTTGTATGTTTGCACTGGTTTGTTCCTTTTGTCTGTCGTCCTGTTCCCAGGGTGTTAAAGCATCATTCATCCCTTGTTCCCAGGAAAGACAGCCTGGTCTCTAACAAATAAACAGTTAAAGGGGGAATTGTAAAACGTGCAATTGCTGTAATTGTTTGAAGTGTGACTGAAAGAGTATTGGAGCCTACCAGTATTGAATCAGCTTGACATGGCTTGGGTGTGAGCAATCTGGCTTGCTGTGCCATCTTGAGACTTTTTAATAGCTGAATGCTGGATCACAACGAGGTGTGTAAGACAATGGTCTGTGTTAAGAGTAGAGGTTGACTAGGCAGAGTGGACACCTGTCTGCAGAAATACTGGCTTTGAAATGCTAGATGGTTGCCACACACTTAGAATCAACTACTGTATGTGCAGTGTATGTTTTCTGACTTTGGTAGAAATGACTGCAATACAACAGTGGTGGTGGTATGTGTGAAATTTATCTTTACTGAAAAATCAAAGCATTTCTTTGAGGCTTGCGGCCAACCTTGAGGTATGGGCTGGCTTGCATCTGTGAAGTTTAACCAAGATTATTGTATTTCATTAAAAGTGCCGATAACCCGTTGAATTATGTAACACAGATTTCTCATACTCTTGGATGGAAAATATTTGGAATGTTAAGTTTTAAAAAATCTTGGAAATCTGTCGTATTTAAAAAACCCTCATATCTGAGTTACATTTGAATTACATATGAACCATCAAGTTATGGGTAATATTTTTAGGATGCTTAATTTTTCTATTTTTTATATTTTTGAAAACAATTTTATGGCAAACAATAACAGCGATACACTCAAAAGAAAAAAATGAGAATATATGTGTGTTGTGTATAATATAGATAAAATATTTATTAAGATTACATGGCCCTTTTCCTTTTTTAAAGTTTTGGTTTGTGTTTTGCTTTGCAGGATTTAAAGCTATACCGTAATTACTATTTTCCAATAAAAATACATGAAAAAAAAATAGCAACTATCTCATAACCCTAGTAATTTGGCAGTTTTTTTTATAGCTTCAACAAATTTTAATTTCAGTAATACTGTTATTACTGCTTGTTGCAAAATGTTTGCTTTTAAGAATGGAGAAGATCTGGTTAAATGTGGAAACATGTATTTGCACCATGAAATTTTGGGTCATATTGATGCTTAAAATATTGCACTCATCATTCATGTGGAGAATGACATTCTTCTCTGTTATGTGTGTTGCATCCATGCTGAGTCACAACAGGCCATTCTGCAAATAAGGGTTTTCTGAAGTTAGAATATCCTCCTAAATTGGTATAAATATTTAGTAACGCTGTTCAGATTGGCTTCCTTGCTCCCAAGGGCTTCCCACCTAGAGATATCTCAGTATTTCATTTATTAAAAACTTTATATTACATTTACATGTCTGATGAGTGAATGCTTTGGTACCTAATAGAATTGGTAGTAATATAAATTAAAGCAGTACTTTGATCCAAAAGAAAGGGGATAGCAACCAAGTAACAGAAATTGTACTATAGTAAATAAAAAATTGGTATGTCATAGATATTTAGGTGGTCACAGTGGCCTTTTTTTTAAAAAAAAGCCTCAATACCTAAAATCCAGCAGAACAGAATGAGCATTTCCATCTTGATTATGCTGTATTCTTCCTCTAGAAAGATAGCATACTTGACTATTTCAGAGAACTTTTAGAAGCGACTATTTTTTTCCAGCTAATGTTTAGGAATAGCCTCCTTTGAAAGGCCAAAGAAAAGAGTACTTTGCAATCAAAGATGTTTTGATGAATTCAGGGAAGATACTATATTAGAGATAGAGAGTGGCATCGTGAAATCGGTAGCATAAAACCCAGCAATTCTAGTCAGGCTGACTGAAATATTTATGGTAGTTCCAAATCTAGGATTGGGTGGAGTTGTGGTTATATACCAGTAAGTAGTCCTCAATTTACAGCCGAAGTTAAGCCCAAAATTTCTGTTGCTCAGTGAGACAGTTGTTGAATTTTGCCTCATTTTATTACCTTTCTTGCCATTACTGCAGTTAAGTTAATAATACAGTTGTTAAGTGAATCTGGCTTCCCCATTGACTTTGCTTGTCACGAAGTCACAAAAGAAAGGTCACATAATCCTGGTACACTTGAACCGTCAAAAATACCTGCCAGTTACTAATTATCTGAATTTTGATCATATGACTGTGGGGAGGCTGCAGTGATCATAAATATGAAGAATGGTCATAAGTCACTTTTTTTTTGTAACTTTGAACTGTCAGTAAATGAATAGTTGTAAGCTGAGGACTATCTGTAATTATCAATTCAGGGAATACAGAAACTGAATGAGAAATAGTTTGAAATTAAAATAGGGAAAAGAGCCACATTAAAATAGGGGGTATTTTTGGTAAAGGGTGAAAGTAAAATGACTTTTCAGAAGGCAATTTTTAGTTCTCAAGAAGTTTCTTGGATTAAAAGCAAAATGTTTTCAAGGAAAAAAAACCAAGAAAGTCCAGTTGCCTTTTGAAAAGCACCTTTTGGACAACTATGACCTGGATGATTGAGAATCTCCATAGACAATATGACTTCAAGCTAATACTTGCATATATAAATGATAGGATGACAGTATTACATTGTGTCAGACTAATTTTTACATTCAGAGGTTTAGCGCATATGGTGCATGGTGCCCTATGCTCACAAATATTGGGGGTGGGTGGGTGGAGGGTCCTATAGTTCATGAGGCTGGAACAACAGCCTTCTCCCCCTTTAGAGTGCTTTTAAGCTTTTCTAAAAGGTATTGTTTGACCTAATATTTGATTTCAGTTTGGGACAGTAGCCTTTTTTAATAGGCTTTTTTAGACAGTTAATTGCACTACAGCTGTACAATTAATGATCTGTTTTGTGGGGGAGGGCTGCATAAAGTCCAGACATTTTCATTCAGAGAAGCATTTCAGTTTCAGGAGATTTGTTGTTCCTCTTCTCCCTTTTGCCCATTTTTCTGCCACTATATTTAATACAGTTTGAGGTTTAGAACAAGCCTATGTAACTGTCACAGGCACTATTGAATAGATCAATGCCCCCCCCCACCTTTGGGGGACTGGTTCCATGGAGAGAGGTTTTTCCACAGACCAGAGGTGGTGTGGTTTCATATGTTGCCTGCATCTCACAATGGGCTTTGCTTGTTTGCACAGCCCAGTTTCTGGCATGCTGTGGCCCATTGCTGGTCCATGGACTGGGGGTTGAGGACCCCTGGAATAGGTCATTTCTTCAGTTAAAATACAGCATTTTTCATATATGTAGCCAAAAAAATCATAAGTTTGTTTTTAAAAATATGTATTGAAGTTGCTAAAACAGGGCTTTTCAACCTTTTCACCCATTGTATCACTTTTAGGATATGGCAATATCTGAGTACCACCAGTCACCTAGCAAGGTGTCAAAAACTTGATGACCCCCCCAAAAGGAAAAAAGTGATGAAGTACAGGTAGTCCTCAACTTACAACAATTCGCTTAGTGACTGTTTGAAGTTACAATGGCACTGAAAAAAGTGCCCCTTAAGCCATAGCCGATCAAGACACCTGTCTGCCCACCTGGCGGCACTCTTCCTCCTGTCTGAGGTTTTCATTGTTGTGAGCATTTCGGTTGAGGATTGGCAACGGGGGTGGGGTGGGGGGTGTTTGATTTTTATTCCTCCCATCTGCTGGGTGGTTGCAGCAGGTTTTGGTCACTTCACATGACCCTGGGACACTGTGACCATCATAAATATGAATCAGTTGCCAAGCATCTGAATGTAAATCACAAGACCCTGGAGATGCTGCAACATTCCAGCTGATCGGCACTTCTGGGCTCAGCAAAAGTGGCAGGATCAGCACCGAGTTCCTGGTGCTTCCACTGAGCCCTGACAGCCCTGCAGCTCCAGCCACCTCTCACTCAGGCTTGTGCGGTGCTGCCATTGGTTCAGCTCATTCCCCTCCCCCGCTACCACTTTTCTAGGATGGTCGCGTACCACCTGCCAGGTGCCAATGTACCACAGGTGGTACCCGTACCACTGGTTAAAAAGCCTTGTGCTAAAACATACAAAAACACACACACATACATCCTTTTTGAAGAGGCCTTTCCCTCATTCCAGTAATTTTAGGCAACTCTAATCTATTCTGCAACCTTTATATTTCAAGGAACGATTGTTGAGAAAGTGATGGGAGTAATAAATGCAGAGCCTCTTTG